CCCCCCCACACACACACACACACAAACTTGACACTGACAGGTCTTTTTGTGAGTTTTCCACTCGTTTTCACTGAGTGTGTGTCTGTGTGTTGACTTCCTGTTGGGGGTGGGGGAGTGACAGAGAGACAGATTGAAAACAGACTCTCTCTCTCTCCTCTACTCTATGTAAATGCCTCTCACTCTTTTCCTTCCCTCTCTCCTGCAGACTCTCTCTCTCTGACTCAGTCTGGTGGTTTCCATTCGTGGTGTGTGTGGAATGAGACTGAAGAAGAGGAGTGAAGAAGAAGGAGAAGGAGAAGAAGATCAGCAGCAGAAACAGAAGGTCTGAAGAAACAACATCTTATCTTTCTTTCAGTTTGAGAAAATTCTTCTGATTTAGCTTGTTTGTGTTTCTCCTAAAAAAACTACAAAAACCAGAGTCACTGAGTCAGTCACATGACGTCTCAGCAGGTTTTTATATCATCAAATAACTGATTCAAACCAAACTGATCAGAAACACTTGAACAAACATCAGAGAGATAAGAACGAGCTGAAATGACAGAAACATCTTTGTCAAAGATTAACTTAACGTCTATTTTGATTTTTAATTTGTTCCATGTCCCATCTGCTAACATGGAGGAGTAGTATATGACCTATTCTGCAGCCAGACACCAGGGGGCGATCCAGATGATTTGTAAGTGAGACATTAAGACGTGAATTTCAGGAGAAATCTGATTGAATATAGATAAACATAAATAATATTGTCATGACAATTATCAGCTGATGTTTTTCTTTCAAGGTCAAGGGTCTGTGATTGACAGCTGTCGTTCATCAGATCTGAACCAATCAAGAGACAAGAAACAACATTCATCATGGAGCAGTGAGAGAGAAGTGAGACACACACATCTGTCTCTCTCCATCTCTTTTTGTCTGTGATGTATTTGCTGACAGGATGGCGGCTGACGGTGACATCATCAGTGACATCACAGCGTTGTTCAGATCAGATTTAGCAGCAGAAAGCTGCTGTGCTCTGATTGGCTGTGCCCCCCCCCCACTGCCC